ATTGATAAATATCTCGCACCTATTTAAACGATCACGTTTCGGGGCTCGCGATCGTCATTGTTAATTAAATATAAGACTGTAAAATTTCCGCGCCCATATAACCGAACACTTTTTGGGTATCGCCAACGTTCTAATTAATTAATAATAAAATTGTTAAATATCTCGCGCTCATTTAAACTATCACTTTCTGGGTATCGCCAACGTTCTAATTAATTAATAATAAAATTGTTACATATCTCGTGCCTATTTAAACGATCATGTTTTGGAGCTCGCAATTGTCATTGTTAATTAAATATAAGACTGTAAAATTTTCGCGCCCATATAACCGAACACTTTCCGGGTATCGCCGACGTTCTAATTAATTAATAATAAAATTGTTACATATCTCGCGCCTATTTAAACGATCACGTTTCGGAGATTGCGATCGACTTTGTTAATTAAATATAAGACTGTAATATTTCCGCGCCCATATAAACAAGCACTTCTCGGGTACCGCCTACGTTCTAATTAAGTAATAATAAAATTGATAAATATCTCGCACCTATTTAAACGATCGCGTTTCGGGGCTCGCGATCATCTTTGTTAATTATACGTAAGACTGTTGAATTTCTCGCGCCCATCTAAACAAACATTTTTCGAGTATCGCCAACGTTCTAATTAATTAATCATAAAATTGAGAAATATCTCGCGAATATTTAAACGATCGCGTTTCGGGGCACGCGATCATCTTTGTTAATTATAAATGAGACTGTTGAATTTCTCGCGCCATTTAAACGATCAAATTCCCGATATCGTCAATTTTGTAATTAATTAATCATAAAATTGATAAATATCTTGCGCCTATTTAAACAATCGCGTTTCGGGGCTCGCGATCATCTTTGTTAATTATAAATAAGACTGTTGAATTTCTCGCACCCATTTAAACGACCAAATGCCGGATATCGTGAACGTTGTAATTAATTAATCATAAAATTGAGAAATATCTCGCGCCTATTTAAACGATCGCGTTTTGGAGCTCGCGATCGTCTTTGTTAATTAAATATAAGTCTGTAAAATTGTTTTCCATGAGTGTCCTGTGTGAGAGGAAAAGGATGTCTGACAACCCAATTTTAAGAGATGGTGGAAGAGGTCTTGGAGAGGCATCGAGCATTGTCGAAGCAATTTTGGGGTAAATAATATTTTTTACTCATATAAAATTAGTAGAGATATATTAATCAAAAAGCTTTCAGTTTCACACCATATTCGCAATTCCTCTTTTGTGAATCACTTTTAATTTGCAGCTACATTTTGCAATTTTTTCTTAAACCTTTTCGAATAGAGTACGTTTTGACGAGATATAATTTTCATCAGTGATAATTATATATTCTGATCGATGTTGAGAGTTTCGCTTATCCGCGTAGAGTTGATATACTTGTCGCACAAAATTTATCATGCATGAGACTTTTATTCGTCTGTTTAAAGGCTTGATTACGTTTTTATATGACGTTAAATATTTCGTACTGACATACGGAACTCTCTGTGCTCATTTTTGGTGTAACTGCTGTCGCGCAGTTGATCACCGGCGATAACTTTCTCCCCCC